CACTTTTTGATCTGCATTAGAGGCTAGTTTGCAAGTAACTTCGCCTCTCTGGCATGCAGATCAAACGAATAATGTAAAATGATGGAGGTTTGCCATCACTTTTAAAAGGATGTAAAGCTTTTTGGGGAGCATTAGTGCTATAAATGATGAATGTGCACCAAGTTGTACTCATATGGGCTCAAATGATGAGCTGCTTAAACAGATAAGTTATCATACAGCAAAGAGAGGAGCCTAAGTGCCAACTGGCAGCGCAGGTATGAATACACGGGGATTGAAAGACGGGCTGATAGGAAACGGCACTCAGGGCTCTGAGTGAGGATTTCTGTCTTCATATGTCCTTCTGTCTTTCTTTCTTGGACAAGTTTGAATCAGTTCTGAAGTCATCTGAAACAAGTCAGTTTCAAGTCAGCTCAAGTGTGTCAAAGCAAATCAAGACTGTCAGAGACTCCAGTGTGGTACAACAAGTAAATCAAAATAAGACATTAACAAATGTAAGTCTCAAATAATCCCAAAAGAACACAAATCAAGCCTCAGATCATTGGGCTCTAGTTCACCTCATTGGAGATGAGTCCAAAGTCAAGTCTCAAGTCTGTTGCAGCAAACTTCAAGTTAAGTGTCATTGCCTTTACAAGTCCAAGTCAAATCCCAAGTCACTCAAGACAAGTTTGAAGTGAGATTTCACATCTACATCACATCTCCAATCTGCCAGAAAATCTTTCAAAACAGGTTCAAGTCAAGTTTCAGTTCAAAAGAGATAAAGCTCAAGAGAACGTGTCTCTAAAGTAACTTGAGAAGTTCAAATTAAGTCTTGAGTTTGTCATAGCTTGTCTGTTGTCCACACAATTTTTGAAGTCCAGACTCAAGTAATGAGAGAAAAGTCAAGTCTTAAGTCTTTTAAAATAAGTCTCAAGTCAATTGAGAGATGTTATTCACAAGCTAATTCGTTTTTTTATTGTTCATGTCACTGTTATTCTCAAGTCAAGTCTTTAAACAATAAAGTCTTTATTAAGCGAAGTCTCACAGCAGCTAAGTCCAAGTCAAGTTTTAAATCCTAATTTTAATTAGTTTAACTTGAGATTTCAAGTCTCAAAAATATGTTGTTCTCGAATTGTTCCATTCCAACCACACTGTTATGAAAAGGGCTCTATGTAGAACCAGACATCGCCTCTACGGCTGTTTGGCTTCCCATCATTGTAAAGCGACGTTGAGAAAAGTTCTGCAAAGAACTATGCTCAAATGGAAAGTTATGTTGCTTTGAAGAGATCTTTATAAGTCGAAACCTTCTTGAGTTTCATTTTTTATCTTTTCATTCCAACTTTTATAACCGAGCATGACAAAAGAGCTCTTTAGGAATCCTATTATTTCTGGGTGGATCTCATCCATCCATCCACTCAGCTTTCCCATCTGCTGGTGTTTACTCCATCAGCCCCTGAGCATTATCTCATTCTAGACAGGTTTGCCAGACATCTGAACCGGATGTAAGCGAGCCGGTAGCAGCCGCTGGAAAGTATTTCGTCCACTTCCTGTGAAAACATTCCTGCTCGTATTGTTGTGGTTGTTTTATTAGCGCACCGTAAGCCCTGGTAGGGTTTGATGTAAAAAAAAAAAAAAAAAGAAGAAGTGAAAAAGCTGGACAAAGGTTGACCGACATGTCGGTCAAAGTTTTTACAAGGGGATAAAAGGGTGGGAGAGTTGGAGTGTTATGCAACGAGTAGGAAAGTGTGAGCTGTTGTAGTTTCACTTTGTGTATGTGACAGAAGAAAAACATCACAGACCTTTTAAACCCTGTTTCTTGTACAACATCAGTCACTTTTAAATCCCTCTAATCCCACCAGCTTGATCTCACGTATGCATTTAGTAGTCGTGCAGCATTACAGCTTCTTCTGACAGAATCCCAAATCCTCCAAGTTGGAGCTATTCAAGGAGTTACAAACACACTGAAACCTGCAACAACAAGCCAGTATACAATAAATGAGTTATTGGTGTTTAATGTCACTGAACCTGCAAGAAACAGTAGTGATTGCAAGACATGAGGTGAAGGTTTACAGTGGAGAGCAGCTTGGGAAGGGCTGTGGTGCTGGTTGGAACTTTGTTTTATTGGTGTGTCAATGAAGTGGACGTCAATGAAGAGACTTTAATGAGAGCTGGGAAAGCCACCAGCGCCGATTTCATGCACGTTTTCTACATGTGTCGCATCATACCGTCTCACATTCCTGCAAGTATGAGTGTGATACCTCACACCTTCGCACAACTCTGCAGGTTTATGTGTTCATGTGTGGTGCCAAAAGTCCACTGAGCAGTATCAGGGCACCAACCAACCAACCAATCAACATCTCTCATTTATCTTTCCTGTTGTTCTTTCCACAAAGGAAGAACGGATAGGGGAAAGACGGGAGGGTTTTGTTTTTGCTAAAGGAGTGGAAAAATAAAGCGAGGTTTCCCCCCTCGAGGGTGTGGCAGCTCGGTGATGTCAGACAGTTGCTGTAGTTACTGTGTAGTGATTCTTGTGGGTTCCTGTCATGTTTTGTTAAAAGCCAGTCAAACAGACACTGTGGAGTACACACATGCTAATAACACACCCATTGTCATGTGGTGTTATTTGCCCCTTAAAGCAAACAATCAGACGGCTCTGCTCACTACCTCCTCTTTCTTTTGCATCTTTTCACACCGCCGTCTATATTCTGTGGAGGGCGATATCTGTATGTTTCTGTTTTGAGAGATTTTGTGGACAGATGGTTATAGTAATAGAATGCAAAACATACTATAGATAATAATTTTTGCACAGTACCAGTAAAAAGTTTGGACACACCTACTCCCTAAAGGCATTTTCTTAATTTTCCCACCTTTTCCCACAGTTTAGAACAAACCTGAAGGAAAAATTACATCATAAAAATGAAGTGGCACACATGGATTCATGTAGAAAAAACGTGTTAACAAACCAAAATATGTACATTTTCAATACCTGTGCACACTCCTGGTATCTCAGTATTGGACTGTCCTTGGATTGCTGCCATCCGTTCACCTTCTATGCATCTTTTAAACACTCTTGAGAGAGAAAGTCATCAGTTTGCACTTGTCAGACAGCCCTGTCTCCACAAATATCCACGCCTAAACTGCCTTCTCAATTATTTTTTAAGTGAACCTAATTTAATTTTGACATGAACAGAATGTGTGACCTGTGATGTGTTGGGAAAGGTGTCCACTTTGAAAGAGTCAAAGTCTGAGTTACGACAATCAGACTTTCACTCAGAAGATCATTTTTCGCATCTTGAGATGGACGAAAGTTAAGTTTAGTAAAATATCCCTCTTTGTTAGACACTTGTTGGAAGCTTGGTTAAGGTTAAGCACTAAATTACTGGGTTCGAGTGAGGAAAGATATCAGACTTTGGGTTAAAATACAACCGTTTCACTATGCATTTGAGGTGTCTATTTCATTTTCTGGCTTACCAGGGTTACTAATATATAATTGGTTAGCAGTAAATTCAAGTAGTAAAGCAATAAAACAAGTGGCAAAGACTGCATTGATTACAAACATCATTTGAAAGAAAATATATTTAGTTGTACAGTGATTTAATTTTGTGGAGATTATGTTGCTTAAGACCAAAGTCCAGATTTCTGCAGGTCTGTTTCATGCATTCACAGGTGCTTTTCTTTGCTCAAGTAGTTCTTTTCTTCTTTTTCTCTGCAGCAGCGGTGACTCTTGGTTCTGCTTTCATGAGGTGGTCCTTATAGGAACCATTTTCATCACAGTGTTTGATGGTTTTTTATGTCCGCACTTGAGGAAGTTCTAACCTTCTAAACCTAAAATAATGATGGGCTGTTGATTCTGTTGGCATGCTCGAGCAGTTCCTGCCACAATATAAATGACTGCAGCAGTTGAGCGGGGCAATTTGCTGAATACCAACACAACCTTGGCACAGCACAATTGATGGTACTGAAAGCGTCAACGCCTTCTTGGGTGAACTGATGGGTGGTTAGATAACACATCATATGGGTGAAAAATGCACTCAACAGATTTCAGTTCAGTTCCTGGCTGGTCACACTCTTCCTGCACATCATTCCTCTTCTTACTTTCCCCACATTTCCTGCCCGTCAGTACCAACCTGTACCAATAAAGGCAAAACATTAAAAAACCTGCCCACCCAGGGGGCTCCTGTACCGGCACCAGGCTGGATCCTTTATTAAAAACACAACTGGCAGTATGTTTTTGCAGAGTGTGCCACGTTCAATGAAGAGGCTGCCAAGTACAATGATGACTGTGACTAAAAAGGATGTAGCATTTGTTGTGCTTCATTACTGCTTGGTATTTGATAGAGATGCAGCTGAGAACTTTGAGTTATTTTTAGCAACATATGAAGCTGTTGTGTACTCTCAGATTTGCAGTTGTGATGTAAAAATTCACACTTTTTAAAAAAAATCTCACTCTGGTGCGGCGATGGAGACAAAGAGCCTTATTGTATTACTCTTGGCATTGACAAGTATCTCTAAGAGCCTAAGGTTGTTCATTTTTAAACTTGTTTAGCTGTTGCTGACTGAATTTTGGGGAGGTTTTGTCAGGTGGCAGTTTCAGAAAATAGCGTAGGGGCTTAAGGGATTAAGAAGACAAGGCGTTCTCCCACGACAAGGCTAATCTGTTGAATGGAAACCATCTGAGGTGACTTACTTATAAAACTGATGAAGATATTGCCAAGAGTGAGCAACGCTGTCAACAAGGCGTATTTAGGTATTATGTTTTTTAACACATTGTCTTGTTTGCTACATAATTCCATTTGTGTTATGAGCCATGCTGCTGAAGGGAATAAAATAGACAACGGGGACCACAAACCCAATGTTTGACCTTGCGAGTTTGATCACATTTTACATGGGATTAGCTTGAAGTCATTTTCATTTTGGAGGATTTGTTCATAATTTCCTAGTATTAGCTCCAAACATGTTTAATTATAAATTTTGTCTAATCTACCTCTCTCTTCTCTCCTCTGTTTCATCTTCCCGTCTTCCAGTGTGTGGTTCTGAATTGGCCCAGGGAGGTTTCTTTGTGCGGCAGGGCGAATACATCTGTACTCTGGACTACCAGCGGCTGTACGGGACTCGCTGCTTCAGCTGCCAGGACTTCATCGAGGGGGAGGTGGTGTCCGCCCTGGGCAAGACCTACCATCCCCGCTGCTTCGTCTGCGCCTCATGCAAGTAAGAAACGAGAACACAGGAAGCAGAATCCAACAGAATGCTTAATTCGTGTGTGATTCAGCTGTTAGTTGCTTACAAAACTCACCAGTCTTTTACTTAAACAGCAGTAAACTCTGACATTGTGTTGTTCTAAGTCCTTATTTTCATTCAGTAGGGAGAAACATGAATAGCAGAACAGCAGAATATTCCTAAACTTTTTTTGTGAATTAGAAATTTTGCGGTAACTCTTCCAATGCAATGTTTTAAAATTTGCATAAAAATACATTATGGAAACACGGCTATTGGTGCTACTTATATACAATGCAACACTTAAAAATCACAAGCATTCATCCCGACAAGCTTGGAATAGAAGGTGGATATTGGCTGAGTACATATATAGTTTATGGTTCCGTCGAAGGCAGAGGAAAGCGTCTACGTTTTTTAAGCTGCATTTGAAGGCAACTTTGAACTTCTTGTGGAGGTTTGAGGACTTTGCTGCACACCATCAAATCTGCAACATAGTGATTGTCGGATTGCCAAAAAGTTTCTTTTAGGAATCATTTATGATGTTAGAATTTGGAGAGGGGGTTCAAGGTGGTGCAGTTGGTTGTTGCCTCGCAGCAAGAAGGTCGCCGGCTTGTGTCCTGGTGGGGGCACCGAGATCTTTTTGCGTGGAGTTTGCATGTTCTCCCCGTGCAGCGTGGGTTCTCTCCGGGTTCTCCAGCTTCCTCCCACACAGTCCAAAAACATGTTGAAGTTAATTGGTGATTCTAAATTGTCCGTAGGTGTGAATGTGAGTGTGCTTGGTTGTCTGTCTCTAAGTGTAGCTCTGTGATAGACTGGTGACCTGTCCAGGGTGTCCCCTGCCTTCGCCCTAAGTCGGCTGGGATAGGCTCCAGCCCCCCCGTGACCCTAGTGATGATTAAGCGGTGTATAGATAATGGATGGATGGATGGAATTTGGAGGCTTCATCTGAACATTTTTGTAACCTTCCTCATGATTACCTCAACCTCATACAGTCAATGGTCATGTGTGTTGAGGTGAAACTATAAGCATAAAGGGTTGAACTTCAAATTTCAAGTTCATTTTTGTTGTTGTTGTTGTTTTTTTTCATTTTTCATACTTTTTTCTGTGTTGACTGTCATTCCATGTAATTTGGAACCTAAACCATGAAGAAATTTACAGACAAGCATCAACACTTTAAACTGTATCCTGTGACACACTGGGACACTCAGATGAGTTAGCGATTTGATGACTGAGTCAAGCAATGCTTACCATCTCTAGCGGTATACCAAGCTGTTCTGAAGGCCAGTTGAGATTTATGATCTGCCTGGCAGTGCTCTGGGTCTACCCCTGGGTCTCTGACAAGCTGGACGTTCCCAGAAATGATCCAGAGGAAGGCACCCTGTAGGCATCCTGACCAGATGCCTCATCCGCTTCAATTGGCTTCTCTTTACACGAAACAGCAACTACTTGACTCTTGAACACTGTTGAGGTTAAACTGAATAATTTTCCTTACTCTCTCAACCACAACAGTCTGATACAACACCTGTATTGCTGATATTTGATATAAAACTCTTTCTATTTGTGGATGCATTGTTCCACTGTGGTCCAAGTGTGAAACATCCAGTTCATTTGAAGGATACAATCGTTGCTGTCTTTTTTCTTTTTTTTTTTTTACCTCAGTATGCTGCCATATAGACTTATGACACCTTAAAGGAAAAACTAGATAAAGCGTCTTGGTAAAGTGTTTGGCCACCACATGTTGCTTGGCAGCTTCAATGCAACTTAATTTCCCAAGGCTCTGGAGCTCTACTGAAGGGACAAAGCACCATTCTTCCTAAAGATCTTCCTTCTTCTGGTGTTTCATGATGGTGGTGGATGGTGGTTGGTCCAAAATTTCCCATTGATCTTCAGTTGGATTGAGATGTGGTGGCTGTGAAGGCCATAGAATAAGAGTCTCATCATTTTCATACTAATCAAACCATTCAGTGACCCCTTGTGGCCTATTAATGGGGACGTTGACATCCTGAAAGAGACCACTCCCATCATAACAGAAATGTTCCATCACCATGAAGTCAAAAGGCAAAAAAAAAATAGCAAAACAATGGCATATATTTGCCAATCTTAAATAGTAGAAATATAGAATAAAGAGTCACATTGTCCAGCAGTGAGACTGATACATGTGGCTGAACATCCACAGATGCATTTGTGCAGAATCTTGTTTAGTTTTTATGCTTTTTGTAAAAAAATGTCTTGGGTAAAAACAAACCGTCTGCACGCACTGAGAGCTCAACTTCTTTGTCTGGATGGACGGATTCGAGAGAGAAGAACAATATTAATCTGAAACCATAAATGTTAAATGGAGCCGTTTAAAACTAATCAGGAGCAGCTAAGCTTATATTAGATTTGTATATTCTTCATTATTTGGTGTTTATCATGATATTGTGTCGCAAGGTTCAAGCTACAGAAAATGTTCTTCCAGTTGTTGAATACATGCACATTTCCAGGTCTGCCACCCATATCAACAAAGTGTTCTTGAGCTTATGCTTTTCACTCCAACCCTCACTTGGTTTTAGAGCTGCAGAACTCCAAAGGTCTTAAACCAGTCTGAAGGTCATACAAGGTCATCAGCAGATTTAAACGTGATTTACTGTCAAAACAACCAGACAGAGTTTCAGAATCTGACGTTCCCACGACTACAAGAGCTCCGAATACAAAACCATCTTTTTAGAGGCAGATATTTCATCATCACTGTATTTTTTTTTTCTTTTACACACATCATCAACAGCAAATCCCCTGCTGTGTACAGTAAAGGTGTCACTTACACGCACATAAAGCCGCAATACACATGCATACACAAATATAGCAAAGCACGTGAAGACACGTGGCACCGCACGTCGCACGCTTACCCTCACCTGTTTCTAGCCATGTGCATGCTGCTCCTGTGCGATGTGTGCATATCTGTTTGTGTCTGTGTGTGAGACCAGTGTTACATCTCAAGCCTCGAAAGGTAATGGGAGCCCCTCGCAGGCAGGAATTTTAAGTGTGTGGTCAGTCTGTGTGGCTACTTAGCCCATTCCCACAGCTAGTGTTAAGTGTCTTTCGAACTGGGGGTGGGTTTTCTAATATATGTGTGTGTGTGTGCATGTTTGTCTTATCATACTTTGGTGATCCTTAAACCTGAGATCACAATGTTCCAGTGTGGCATTTGAGGTTTCGTAATGTGATCGGTGAACTCCTGCGCTTCTCTTATAACAAATATCGCTTTTGTGGCGACGAAACACATGAGCTTATTATGAGCGATATAAAAATAGGGTTGAGGGGAGAGAAAAAAAAAAACGCTGCTTGAGATGAGAAATCATGCTCAGGATGTGTGTGTGTGTGTGTGTGTGTGTGTCTGTGTGTGTCATGGTGGCGGAGCTGTATTGATCATCAATAATTCAGTAATATGGCTGCATTTTTCATTCTCGCTGTCTGGGTTTCTTTGTGTGTGCTACGTCACCATTCACCTGCAACTGCAATAATACAAGAAGAAATTGGCCTGAAATAGAAAACAATAACAGAAAAATATTACATTTATATGTTCTAACCCATATAAACTAAAGATCTAGGTATGATGAATTAGGGTTGCACATACAGTAAAAATGCAGCAGGTAAATTGAGGCTAAGCTGATTACTGTAAGCAAGAATTTAATGTTAACCTTAAAAACTGCACTTTCAGATGTTTCTACATGTCTAACCTATAATCTCAGCTCCTCTCAGTCTGCCTGGATGTATTCCTTCCTCAGTATCTGGCTGTGACAGTGTGACAGCAGCTCTAATATCACATTTCCTTGCTGTAGGAAGCAGCACGTGGCAGCAAGTCAGAGTCCCACTCTGCCAAGGAAGCATCATTCCTTCTATACTTGACTTGGTGACAGCAGCTGTGTTGGAGCAGCGTGCACAAACAGCCAGCAGACATTAACATTGTTTCATTGCGATGTCTCTCTGGCGGTATAATGGAATGAGTCTCTAAAAGGGTTTTGGCTGGTGAGTGAAGCCATTGTCGGCGTGTCCTAAGTTGCACTTGTTTGTTTGCCGACTGCACGCTGCTACCAAGAGAAGTCACAAAGACGACAACAATTAAACACTGATCTGCTGCTGGAACAGGCGCCACTGTTCTAGTTTCAGGAGTTTCACCAGTTGTTGAAACCTGGCTGGAGGGATTAGCTGGAATTCAGACACAAGTGCATTAGTGAGATCCAAAGTTAGGTAAGACATGATTCTCAGTCAACGTTGCAACTCATCCCAAAGGTGTCAGGTGGGGCTGAATTCAGGGTTCTGAGCAGGCTAGTAAATATGGTTGCACAGAGTAGTAAAAAGGCAGCTGGCAATGCAAGCTAAGCTATATATTTTTAGTTAAAAAATGGAGTTAGAGACGCAAAACTTGGGAAACCTTTAATTTTTGGAGCAGGCTTTGTGCACAGAGGCACTGATGAAACAAGAAAAGACCAAACACAGTTTGTACAATGTTAGATGCCCACTATTGAAGCACATTGTTTGGAAATAAAATATATGCAAGCTGAGGTGCTTAAATTTCTCTAAATCTGTGCAAGGGTGTTCCCCATGGTTTTGTGTTAGGGCTACAAAATTCAGCCACTTACACAATAATGCTTCATTTAGATGTTCCACTTTGTACAAATATCAGCTTTTTTGCAGATGACACTGCTGTTTACTAGACTGTACATGCGGTCAGTCATCTGGTAAAGGACTGCTTTTTCATCCACAAATCAACATAAAGCCATAGGAGCCACTTAGAACATCAAGACTATGTTCTGGGTTTTATGTCTCAGAACTTGCTGTTTTACTGACCGGAGGTGTCACCCTGTACAGTTTCACACAACATATTGGTATTTTGAGGCTTGTCGTTACTAAGGATCTATATCTCTAAGTCTGTCTGTTTAAATGATAAAATAAATTAATAAAAAAATCTAAAATATCAAGAGAAAACATGACATAAATATTAATACAAAATATATATTAAACAACAACAGTAAAGTGTAAGAAGTATAAAAATAATGTACTTCTTTTCTCACTTAGAATTCCAAATTTATCACTGAAAATGTGGAACCTTCAGAGGATGGAATTTGCAGATGATTTCATCACACAATTAATCAAGAAAATGTGAAATCTAATCAGTAAAAAAAATCGGAACGGTTCTTAATCCAGCCATTGGATGGTTTGCCTCAAAATGTCATTGGGCAGAGCTCCACTGGGGAAATTCCTGCAGGAGCCCTCCTCAGTATTTCTCAAAGGTATTGACGCAGTCTGGCCTTGACTAAAAATGTCCAGTAAATGTTCCTTCATGATAAGATGGAGGCTTCTTCCTGACAGCTGATAGTCATCGGTGCATTAATACGTCACCTTGGATTTATTCAGGTGTGGGAAGAGTTTAGTTCCAGTAAAGCTGCCTTCTGCTACCTTAAACCGCTGCTAAGCCACTTCACATGACTTTATATGGCGTTTTAGTAAAGCTTTCATGCCCCATGATGGCTTCAATCCTCCTTCAGAAGAGTAAATGTCTTTTGGGAACGTTGAGCACAAACTGTACAGTATCAGTCTTGTCCTTCATCTGATATTCTATCTGTTTTCTGTTTGTTTGCAGACAGCCGTTTCCAGCCGGCGACCGAGTGACATTTAACGGGAAGGAGTGTATCTGCCAAAAGTGTACCCAGCCTCTCCCTGCCAACAGCCCTGCACCCATACAGGCTGTCCACAGTCAGTACTCTTTCCTGTCTGTTTGAAAGCATAAATCACGCCAAAAAGTAAACTTCAAAAAGTTGTTTCCATCTGTTAAATTGGCACTTTCTTTAATTGTGTTTCCACTTCATGTACAACCAAAATGTCCACTGTTCCCTTTGTCCTTTTGTTCACTTAAATCAGAGAAGTCTTCCGCTCAGAGACCTTTAGGATCATTTCTCATCAAATAACAGCCAAATGCCCTTCATGTGTCTGTTTGTGCAGACTGCTGCGGCTGTGGGAAGGAGTTTAAGAATGAACAGTCTCTCGTAGCACTGGACAAGCACTGGCACCTGGGCTGCTTCAAGTGTAAAGTCTGCAACAAGGTGCTCAACGCCGAGTACATCAGCAAGTAAGTCAGTCAGAAACATTTACTTCATGAGTGCCTCGTTTGGTAAAAAGCAACCAGATTTGTTGAGGTTTTTTGAAGGTTTTTGAAAGACCCTTAAAGCGACCAAGACCTGATTGCTCCACTTATCTGAGTATCTGGAAAGCTGTGATTATTTTTTAAATGACTGAATTATAAAATGTTTCTGGTTTTCTACAATTAGGCAATTTTAGGTAATGTCTGACTTTTGGTACACCATATGTCCATATGGTGGCCATGTGGATAAGGCGTTGCACTGCTCCTGTAACCTAGATTCAGTAAAAATTCAAAATGCCAAAGGGAAATATCCATATTTGAGCCTGTTTTATCTCCCTGTGTTCAGAAAGAGGTTGCAAAAATATGACATCCACATTTTCCAGTCTTCACATGACAACTGTAAGCTGATACGACAAACTATTCATTGATCTTCTTCACACAATGCATATCCGGAAGTGTTGTGTAACATTACTTAGAAAGTTGCTGGCGGTATACAGTTAATTTTAGTTTTATGGCAGAATTTCAGAATTTGGCTATCGCACCACTTAAATCAACGCATGGTTGCAAGATTTGAAAAAAATAAATAGATAAATTGCTGATTTAGATAAAGTTTTTAAGTTGTAAACATTATTTTGAAATGCCATAATAATGTTAGTGATCATGTCAACTTAATATTAATATTATGCAGAATTTAAACTTAAATTTGTGCTTTAGTTGAATTAAAACAAAATGTAAGTTGAGGTAACCTAATGAAATTGACTTGATAACTTAATTTTTATTCACTTTAATTGCAGGATTTCTAGTCCCTTGCTACTACCTACTGAACCATACCTGGAAAACTACAAACAGTTAGTACCGGTAAACAAAAATACCTTTCAACTGAAGGGGAAAAACTACTTCCTCTAATCTGATGTAGTTTGGTAGTTAAACAGAATTCATCAAAACTTCACATAACTCAAAAAGATTGATGCAAACTGTCACATTATTTTTTTGGAGTGTGTAGAATCCAGTCCCACAGAACAAAACCTAGTCTATACAGTACAGCACTGTGGTGGCCAAAGCCTTATTCCCTGCATTTATTTTATCAGAATGTATTAAAATCTGTCATAGACTGCCACCTAGCAGCCTTAACATCCTCAGATTTATATGGCAATAATATAATGTCTGCCTAAACATTGATGCTAGTTATACAACTGATGTAAAATCATTGCAGGTTATTTAAAATATGGATGAATAATGGAGGTCTATCCCTAAACGCTTGCTGAGTGCTGTCAGTCCGGACATGCTGCATGCAGGACTGTGACTCTGAGCTGTCTCCTGTAAAGTGCATCTGATTATCTGTGCCGTCTCCGATCTGCTCACTTGTCCTGTGTTGCCCCTAACAGGGATGGGATCCCCTACTGCGAGATGGACTACCACGCCATGTTCGGCATCCAGTGTGAGAGCTGCAAGAAGTACATCACTGGGAAAGTCCTGGAGGTACACTAATGGCTTACATTTAGAGGAAACACTCTGTTAGCATGTATCATGCGGTTGGATTTGCTCTTTGATAACAGGTGAAGTCTGGGAAGAGAAATCAAGGAGGCAAATCGAATAATGGATAAATGAATAGATTGGCCTTTCGATGGCATTATAACTGTGACTTCCATCTGCATTAGATGAGTAGAGGACTGAGATGAAAAGACAGTTTAATAGCTTTCCAGCTGAAGCTCCCATTTCTCCTAAAATGAAGGTCAAATGAGTGAAACGTGTAATTCATTTGAACCGACTTGTCTGCAACCCACATAATCCCGTAATGCAAAACCGTGCTGTAGAATCAGCATGGTTTCCTTTTATTCACTTTGACACCTGATTTTGATAGAGTGCGTTGCTCTGAAGCTAAATCATTCATCACACTTACAGGAAAGATATCCCACTCAAAGTAACGTCAGCGTTGAATTAGTTCACCTCTTCATGAATGTCGACTGATTCTTGCATGTTTTCTATTGTCACTCAGCTGTTTTGTCGCTGTTAATTCTCAGTGGATGTTTGATTCATATCTTCCATACATTTGCTCCTCCCAAGAGCTGGAAACATCAGATAGCGACAGAGAAAATTACAGAATGTTCTGTCCCAGCTTCTTGTTAGCGGTAGCGCAACGGGTCAGGCGGATGAATCAGCTTCTGAATGAGAGATTGTATTGGCTGCTGGAGAACTGGTTCCCTAATCAGGAGCTGCAGAGTGGGATTCTGCAGGTCAGCGAGTAGGACTTTGCATTAAAACAGCAGCTTCACGTCTTTCACATCACTGTTTACATTTAATTGAATCGTGACAAATGTGATATATTGGCTTAGATAATGCTTCCAAGTGTTATTTAGCTTTAGTCTTGTTTTTGCCATTTGAGTCAAGTTTTCAGTTGATGTTTTTTGCTGCTCTTTTGAGTCCAACCCACATTCTCTTCACTTCTGTGGTGTCAAGTTGAAAATGCTTCCACTTCTCAGTGCAGGTTCGTTTATTTTAACAAACTGAGCTTTTCTTCTGCAGCAGAACCTTTCCATCCATCCTCAACACCCAGATGATCTTAAAAGATGGGCAACACACAGAATAGGCTCATTTTCATGTCTCCCACTTGAGTGTTGCTGACATGTATAATGATGACAAATAGATAATTGGCCGAAATCTTGTGTTGTCTTTTCTGATCTGCAACTCCAAACTGTGTTAGAGAGACCTCTATCTGAAGACCAAGTGTTGGTAATGTTACTGCCTACGACCATCCAACAAAAGGGTGTCTTCGTCTCACACAGGTTACCCACAAGGCCACCTTCCTAAAGGGGAAGGCTTGATTGGTAATGAAGCCTTTACATAGACATACATTATATGGATATCTGAAATTAGTCCCAAAAAAATGTTCCAAATGACACAAACATTGTCCAAAGGTACACAAAAATGATCTAAAATTACTCAAATTTCAATTAGCTGTAGATTCTGACACCTGGAGTGGATGTAAAATTGATTTGTTTGCCGTTTTTAACACAACTCAAATGTGTATTTAAGCTCTGGAAATGTCATGTGCCTATCTGCTGTACTAATGAAGTTATGAGGCTCAGAAATGATGGACAAAATCCATTAAAAAGTGCAAAATTGGGACCATCTATATGTATCCTAAGGGCCTATAACTCTGAAAGTATTCATAGTATGAAGGTAAAACTTTGAATGGCTTCATTAAAGAAACTAAAGTTACTGTAGATAGAAGATCAGGTGATTCTGAGGAAGTCAGGGGGATTTTTTTTGTCAGATATTGTTGGTTTTTACACAGAATCATGCTGCTCTGTTGACTGATTGCTGTTTAAAGAGTTGTCAAATGTATTTTTTGTC